CAACGGAACAATGTTATATCTATGTGAGGTATATAGATTATTATTGATAAAATGAACGAATGAGGAAGATGAAAAATGGGGAAATAAAATAAGAGAGGAGGAAGAATGAAAGAATAAAAAGAATGAGGTAAGTCTCTTTTCTCTCCCTGTCTGAGTCTGGACGTCGGCTCTGGGCCTGCGTGACGACGCGTACACGCCGATGCAACGAAAGGGGTGAGGAGTTGAAGCTGAGGAAAGGGTCGAAGTGGTGAGTACGCGGGGTGATTCAAGGCAAACTGTATGGCCCGTCGAAAAGGGGTCGAGAGGGGTGCCAAGAGGTTAGAAACACGGAAGGCTACGATTGATCCGCGGTAGCCCTCCGTCCCCGACCTCACAAATTCGTTGCACACTTTTGTGTCTTTCTTTCTCCCTAGCTGCGTCATTTCTCTCCATCTTTTATTTTCATTTCTTTGTTGCTTGTCCACATAACGTCTTTATATCGAGCATGACCGGATTAAATTTTTTGTTTAATGTAACGCTTTTAACTCTCTTCTTCTATGTTTTGTTTTAGTCGTTTTAATTTCCGGCAATTAGAAAAGATGCACCAAAGAGATGGAGAATGAAATGTAATTAGTGTAAAAATCGAAAATTAAATTTTTTTTTATTTAAGATTTTTATTAAATAAACTTCATTCACTCGATAAAAATATTTCTTGTACATATTGAAATACGATGTGAACTTTCTTTGATTTTAAATTAAAAATTTCTTCCTTAGTTAAATGTATCTATTGGTCTAATTGATTTCTACGATGAGAAATAAAAAATTGATCCTTTGATTAATAATAGTGATAGTGTATATTTGAATTCACATGCATCTTTGGATCAATTTACCCACAATTGATACTCGATACACCGTTAGTTTGCCGTTAGATGCATGAAAAAATCTAATAAAGAAAAAAATATATAGAAATTCTCTATTCCGAAAGCGGCTTTTGCACACCATAAACGAAGTCACGCGTATTCACGCGGTACGTATAAGGCGGCGGTGTTAAGCTCCCAAGCCGCATCCTAATTAACCGAAGAAACGAAGAGGAATCACTTTGTTACTTGCCGAAGGTTACCGCTGTCGTCGCCACGTCGACTCGCGAAAAAGTTGCGAGAGCATACGACGTATATTTATTCATAGAAACGCGTGATTTATTTTGGCGTGATAACGAGGCCGTTTATCAAGCAAATCAGTGTGTATTAAAAAAAGCCAAGTTAATTTTGTGGATCGTGGGAAAGCTTAAGTGATTGGTTGAATCTGTTTAATATTTTTTATGTTACTGTCATTAAATTATCGGTATTATTGTTATTATTATTATAATCAATGATATGGTTGAATTATTTTTAATTAGATACACACAAGTATTTATTTATTGTAATTATTTTCAGCATAGGAAAAGGTCAAGAATGATTGGTGTGCGGAATTTTACCAGGTCATCTGAGGTCTTTGATTATAACCTTATTGGTTTCATAACTTTAATCAGACCAAAACAATTGTAATATTTTATATCATTAAAAGTCGTCACTAAATTTTCCTTAAAACATTCAAGCGATACGATTGAAAGAGTCGAGCTTGCAGTCAGACAATTGAACTTAAGATAAAAGCTTGAATAATTAATAAATACATCGTTTAATGTTTCCTTTAAAAAATGTATGCTAACAGTAATGATTTAATTGAAGGATTTAAATAATATGAAATTGAATAAGTGAAATGAATTTCACTCATTATTCCGACATAAAGCAAGAAGAAAATTTATTCATCATACTTTCCTATGACTTTCAGTTAGTTCGTATCTTAGCCACGATGCAAAACAATTTATAAAAAAAGCTAGTGTAATCACTATCTTAACGATTTTCAATTTCAATCGATCAAATATATATCATAAAACTATTGCACCATATCATCTGAAACTTTTGAATTGCCAGTACCACAAAACATTTGTAATGTTACGAGAATGAAATAAATCATAAAACATATTTACAATGTAAATTTATCACAGCATCGGATAGATAAATTTTAATTAATAGTAGTTAATCTATATATTTTTAAAATTCATTGATATCCTTGATGATAAATTATTGTATTGTATAATTTACTTGAAAATGATGTATTCACATAAATATCCAAGTCACCATGGAGTATTTTCTGTTGTAAAATTAATTAAAAGAAGTATTTTGAATTGTTTATCGATGTGCAATTATCAATGATGTACAATCAATCTAATGGAAATATGTTTGTTGGTAGATAAAAAAATAAAAATATATTCTTTCAGACAATTATAATGAATCAAACACTCGTGTTATAAAACTAACATGAACATGTTCGCGTAACGCAGAATGCGTCACCAAGAAAACATACCAAGAAAGTTTGCTAGCGTCAACAATGCACGCGGACGCATCCAAGAAGAAGCCTTATGTACACGTGCAGCTAAAGAAACGAATTATGAAACGCTCCACATACATTGACTATATAAACTATCAAGTGTCCACATCCAAGTAGAACCACTGGCGTTTCGTCCACGCAATTACATACACGCGGTATATTATAGAAGTACACAGAGTTTATACTTAATAACACACGTAGACGCAATTTTCGAAGACCATGCCGTGTACACGCACTAGCTGTTGACTGCACGCAAAAATAAAGATTGAATTACCTGACGATATAACACTCGTCATTATTTATTCTTGCGATACTCGATTATCTAATGACTATTTTACCAACTCTATATCATCATTTTATTGGCGATCTACGCACATATGTTCCTCTTTGTTCATGAAAATGAAAGAAAAAATTTCTGCATTGAATTAAAGAATAAACATCGACAGATATTACGGAGAAAACTTGACGAGCAGTGGATATACAATATTTCTGGTGAAATATAATCTCAGATTTTTTTTTGTTTTAAACATGAGTTAATTTATAAATTAACACACTTATTGGAGTATTATTAGAAGTATTTAATCATGTAAAATATGTAATATAAATGAAATAATAAATGTTGTAAAACATTTTTCAAAAACCAGTTATTTAAGATCAATTCTTATTTTTCATTTTTATATTAAAGTAAAATTACCACATGTTAAGGAAAAAAATGCATGTTATAAAGTCTCGACTTTGGAATATTCTGTTTTTAATAAATAAAATCTTGATCACAAAAAAATTTAAACATCAAAGAAATTGATGTGTTAAAGTAAAAATTACAATTTTGATGAACTTCTTTATTCTCTATTGTGAGATAAATTACCATAAAAAAACATTTCATTTGGTATTTTTATAAAAATAATTAAATATATGAATTGCAAAATATTTATTTTTTCATATTTTACATCACAGTCAAATTAATAATCGTGGATGAATTTTTTTACGATTAAAATATCAAAGCTAAATTATAGATTCGTCCAGTATATATATATATATTTTTATATTTATGATAAAAAAATTGGAGGAATTCGAAAGCAGTGTATAGCCAAAAATAATCGAAAATGTAACTCGAGTTAATTGGGGAATCAATTGAAATTAATTTAATCAATCATTAGTCAATACATTTTCAATATTGCGAAATAAAAATGGAATAAAAGCTAAATTTTTTTGTCATTAATTTTTATCCATTCATTGAGTGCTAATTGATTTATTTTATTGAACGAAAAATGATGAAACCTAAAACGATAATTAGTTGGCAATGCGACAAATTCCTTATCTTCGTGTGCGTCATTCGGTGCGTATAGTCATATTATGGATCGAATGTTCGTGTTAATAATCGCGAGAATGCATGCACACGTCGAGTGTACGACAATTTAGAAGTGTGCGTATACGCGTGCGTCGCTTGATTTATGGTATATATTATACGAATCTACACGCTTGCAAATAAAGTTGTGTGCAAACGATGTAGACGAGAGAACGCAATTCGCGTTACCTAAGAATCTACATAGGTACATATAAATATATATATATATATATCTATATCTATATATCGAGACGAACGCACATAGACAAAAGATACCTTGAATGCACGCGCCTGCGTTCTGTGAGTGTGGGTGGCCTTCTACGCCACCTGGTCCAACGTGGCTATAGACTTTTTATTTTTAAGTCTAACCCACACACGAATAAAAATCCTATTTTTCTTCACACTCAATCATATCGATCATTACACCAACTTTTTTGCGCATAAGCAATATATGACTATTTAGAATTCGCGGTTCGAATGCGCGCGCAACTACAATTTTTTGCAGCAAATTTAAAATCAAAGAAATATTTGGAATTCTATCTTATTAAAAATGATTCATAAAATAATTTCAATGCAAAGAATAATTAAAAAATAATATTTCATTCTAACCATTTTTTAAAATAAAAAATTCTATAAAAACCTTTTATTTTAAATGGAAATAAATATTCGTTATTTAAATTGATTCCAAACAACTAAGTATTATATCAGATGATAAAAAAATGAGTTAATATGAAATAATAAATAATTATAATTGGCAAAAAATAATAATAACGATTGATGAAAGTCACGAATTCAAATAAAAGTTTTTACAATGTTTTTACATTGCAATTCATAGATACAAGTATACCAATGTGAGGTTTTTATCATTCTTTTTATAAATAACATGATGCGTGTAATACTTACATTGTCACTGACACTCGTCATCATTTTTTCCTGGTCCAACGAGCCTCTTGTGCCTTTGCAAATCCACGAGATCCGCGAGGGAGCATGTGTGCGTGAACGTTTCACACCTGACTACTACGTGAGTCAAGTCAGCTTCTCAACTCGGTGTTTTTATACACAATTTCCTGAAAATAAATGAAAAATCATTGAAACAATCATGATAAATATTAAAAGTATTTTTAATAATAATATTTAAAAATAAATTTGCGAATTAACGTGATATTATGTTTGCAAAATATTGCAAACACGGTGGGTAAGTTGATCGCGGGGCCGAGTGAGCGCTGAGCTGACAGTAGGCCGGCGACGTCACAGTGGGCCGGTTGAGCCTTCCTTCGTTCGATTCAGGCAGGCTCTCTATTCATTTTACATGTAGCAAGGTAAATATTGATATGCAGTGTCTAATTTTAAACGTGGCCAGTGCGTGCATTCTCTAAACCGCGCGCTGACCAGTGCGTTGAAACGTGAAAAAAATATCAAATAGTATTTGATTGTGAAATGTCAATTTAAGTATAAAATGATAATTGAGTACAATAATCACAAATTGTCACGTCAAAGTAAGCGAAGATGATGATGATGATGATGATGATTATAATAGTAAGATAAAAATGTGATTAATTAAAAATATTTTTCTCATCACTCTGACAATTTGCTGCATTACTACTGCATTCAGTCGTAGTGATGCGTCTCAGCTTGTCCAAGAAATCCAAGAGAGGAGAGAGAGTGAGAGAGAAAGAGTGAGAGATTTAAAAAAAAATCATTATATAATTATTTCAAGTGGGTACTAATTATTTAGAAATTGGAATTATTTTTTCAATGCATGGAAGAGTGAAACAATTTGTGTGAATGTGACAGAAGGTGATGGAAAACTTTTTCATGCTTGTGTTCTACATGAGGCTGTCGATAATTCTTGACAATTCAACCGTCGCGTTCACGCATCATGCATCGCAACACGTGAAGACAACAACATTCAAATAAACATCAAAACGCACGTATTTTTTCAATAGGATTACATATCGAATAAATTAACTCCTTTTCTATTTATTTATATATTGTACTTTTTGTACATTCGAAATGTAGTTTGATTCTTTTTTTTTCTTATGATAATTCAATGCATTACAAATAGACATGAAAAATGACCTTGATTGATGGTCAACCTTTGGCAAGCGTTTTTGATACTTCCAAGTGACGCATAACGACCTCGAAAAATTACATGGCCGTCTGAAATTGCTCAAATTGTGGGAGGTAGTGACAGATTTTGACAATCTTATTTTTCACTCTTTTATATTTTCATTTTTTTCTCTCTCTCATCTTTTTGCAATGAAGCCAATTAATGATTCTTCCACACTCTTATTCATTGTTTGCATAGTCAAAATTAAAAACAAAAAAAAATAAATCTAATCTTTATTAATTATTAATTACAATAGTCACAATGTTACTCCGTTTACTTGATTTAATGTAATTGATAATTTTCATCGAGCGGGAAACCCGTTAGTAGCATGTGCTATTATTGCTCTGAGAGCACCCATTGTGACACGTGACAAGTGTGCGGTTGATAAATGCATTTTTCGACCATTAAAAAAAATTGACATTAAAAAGAAAATATTTTTAAAAAATCAGACGAACAAAATAAAGTATCGTAGGAATTTGTACTCGGTGTTAAGTCATTCATTTTCTCAATTCGAACACTCAGGAGACCGAGATCAATTCTTTATACTTTAGACGTTTTTATCTCGTTGTTATTTCTCTTTCGAGCCAACGACCGGGCAACGTGCTTACCTTTCCTTCGTGCGTGACGTGCAGTATGACGCATCGAAGTGTCTTTCAGTTTTCGAGGGTGTGAATGTTTTAGATAAAATGATAACAAAAAAATTTTTTGCCAAAAAAAGGAAACTTGGGCAGTAGTAATATGAAATAAGTAATAAATAAAATAAAATTATAGCGTAAGTTAAATGAATTTCTAAGTAGTAATTGAGTATACAAAAGAAAATAAATTTAAGAACACGTGTCTAGAGCTTATGAATAAAATAAAAGACCTGACACTTTGACGAGAAAATAAGTCGTTAAATCAGATGTACTTCTTAATCTGTTACTGCCAGTGGTACTTAACAAGTTGAGAGTTGCTCTCGTATCTCAACATATCACTAAGATCACATATATAATATTGACTGACCGCAGGCACGCGACAGAGAGTAAGAATGACAGCATGAATCAGAAATCATGAATGAGATAACACTTGGAAACTCATATATTATCATCTTAGGTTAATAGCAACTTTTTAGAAGTAATCTCAACTTTATTCTTATTTATTATCATCAATATATGCATTTTAAAACTAATTATTCCATTAAAATATTTTTTTTTAACTTAAATAATTTATAAAATAATATTTTCTCTTAAATGTAAATCTCGAGTAATTTATTTCATTATTAATGGATTATTGAGATTGAAAATAGTTTCTTAATTTAATAAGATTTTAAAATGATATAAAAATTTCCAATTGCTTTAATTGCGGATTAAATGGAGTAACACAGTGTGTATTTAATAGCCGGCAGTGAAACCGCCAAAAATATCTCACATGCGTCGCACAGAGGATGTTGGGATAGACTCACGTGACGATTGGTGAGAACTTTACAAGATATCATATTAAATAAAAAACTATTAATCCAATTTGTTTTTAACAAAATTTTTATTACTCATAAATTCACAATAATTAAATTAAAATTATCTTTCCTGTAGTAATAATAGTTATTAAGTTAACAATAAGAAAATCACAAGATATAATATTAGTAAAACGAGTTGATAATGATCCAGAAAAAGAGTGATAGATAGATTCGCGGATGAATGCTCTTTCATTTTAGTTACGGCCCTGTTATGTCGGTTGTATGTAGACGTTTGACGTTTATTGAAGGCCATCTGTTCTCTCCTTTGTTGTTGCTGCTGCTTGACTTTATCACACTCCATTTCTAATCATAATTGTTCCACGCATAATACTTGGCAAAACTAGAGGTTAATATAAGCAAAAAAAAAAATACTTTACATGGACCGAATATTTATTAGTAAATCAGAGTATTAAAAAGTTAAACTCGCGTTTCTGAACTAGAAAGTTATCATTTATAAACTTCTCATTAGAAAGTTATTTTCATGGGGTCGATTTTTGAAATTCGTAATTTTACTATATCTTCACATTTTTAAACATATGAAAACACTTTAAAAGGTTTAAAAATGGATGTCTGTACGTACAATTGTGCGTACGTACATCAGGTGTTTTTTCGTTTCTGATATCTTGAAATCCGCTGAAGATATCGACTCCAGACTAATTTCATTTTAAAGATAATTGAATGAAGAAGATTTGAAAGAAGTTTAAACAAATTCTGTCTAACCGTTTTTTTATGACAAAAAGACTGTATATATTGTTTCTAACAATTTCAATTTACTATAAACAATTAAAAATTGGTTTAATTTATTGAATTATCAGTTTTTATAAATTATGGATTTCAATAAATAAGAAGATTATTGTCAGGGCATAAAGTATGCCAAGACCCATTTTTTTTCCTTAAGGATATCCTTGTATTATCAACAGCTATCAGAGAAGTAGAAACATATCTCATCATGGGCACTTTATGATTGATGTACTAGAGAAAAGTTTATGTTATAATGATCAGTTGGAATTAATAGATGTCACTTCAATAATAATTTATATAAATGTAATTTTTACATATTATAGTTAAGCATAAGTAATTATTCATAAACCCCAAGTTACTATCTTGAAATAAATAGTAACTAAAGCTCAAAGCGATGAAGAAAAGATAAATAACATTTTAAAATCTGTCAGACGTAAATAAATTATGGGATTAAGGCATAAACAGGAATGATTGTCGTTATTCTGGTAAAAGTGCAATAACTTTTAGAAAATGTATTCAATCTTTCATATTTAAAATATTAAAAATTTAAATATTAATACCTCGATCACGATGCAATATTTGTAACTTCATTTAACAGTAATTCTATCAAATCAACATCATGGAAATGTTTTTTGTTATTCTATCGCATTATTAAACTTATAGATTTCGTTTGAAAAATTTTCAAAATAATAGAAACTTATGATAAGTTACTGTTTCCTAACTTGCATTTAATTCACTGATATTCCATCAATGAGTAATTGTTAGTAGTACCAAAAGATTGATAAAATTGTGCATCACTTTCACTATCTTTCTCTCTCTCATTGCTATTTTCCAATTTCACGCTCGTTTGTATTCCCCTGACAGTATCCCGATCACTCAGCATCAAGCACATGTTTCTATTCACATACTCACTCACACTTCATCAAAAATTATTACCTTCATTCTAACAAGTCCTAATTAAATATTTCATATACTTAATGAATGAATACAGTTGATCATATAAATTATAATTCAACATAAAAAGACATTTAATCATCATATCAAAATTTTTTTATCTGATTTAAAAGATATACAAATCAAACAAAAATAACTTCAAATGGAGATCATTCTGTCACTGTGGCAAAAATATTTAAGATCAATATTATTTGCATGTAGGATCTTGGTAGTGTAAAATAATTGTATTAGAGTCAATAAATATTCTTGTAGTGAACTATACACAGCTGGAAAAAATTTGAATATCGTGAATAATTCAAAAGGAAATATTTGCGAATATTTATTGCTATTTTTTTATTTTCAATTTAGCAGTAGCATCGACGACACTAAAGCCGCGAGAAGAATCTCGTTAATCCGATGCATTACATCATCCACGCATAAGCCTTAGCTATATAGCAGTGTTCATAATTCTGTATTTTCCACATCGATTGCACATTTCGCGAGAATTGCATCCACCCACCGTAATATTCGCACATCGTTTTCCGCAATTTAAAGACAACGTTCAAAATAAACATGTAAGCATTAAGATTAACCATTCGTAATATGCTTTTTTACACTCGAGTTAGCTTCTTCCATCCTATTTATCTCTCTCTCTCTCTCTCTCTCTTTTCTTTATTTCTCGATCTGTTGATTTATAACGACCTTTCATTATTTATTGTTCGTTCAAGCATTCCATGCGCTTTACAACTAACTTTTCCGCACAGTCTGGTTACACGTATGAAAATGATAAATCAAAAGAATACGAAGACAACTAAATACTAGCGGTTTAGTATCGATTAGTTATTCGTGTATTACCGATGGAACTCCTCAGCTGTTTGACATTTTTCGATTCTGCTAATAAATAAATTGGTGGAAGTGAACTCTTGTCTTTAAACAAAATGCAAGAACATAATAAAAACAAATAAAGGGCTTTAAGAGCACGTGAAACTCTGTAAACATGACCTACACTCGTAGCGATAGCTTCACGGTGTCTTTATGAGTATACTGGAAAATGTAGTAAATGTTTCAAAATGTAATACTGGTGCTCTACGTGTATACAATGAACTCGTAATCGCGCCCTTAAATTTAATAGCGATATTATAAAGCATTACGCTCTTTATGTTTATAATGTGCTAAACTATCAAGGTTCAATATGATTTATTATCAACATTTGTGATCTATTTACCTTTCCTATGATTAGGAATAATAAATTTATTTTTTACTTAACAGCATAACTGTTAACTTTTTAAAAATACTTTTTTACCAGTAAACAATTGCCTCCGTCTAATTTAAATTAAATCGATTGTTGGCAAGTAATCTTAACTTAATCTAACCCTGGTGTCTAGTTAACTCCGATGGGTATAAGTTATTTAATTGAATCAGTAATAAAACAGTGTAATAGAGGATTAAGAAATGAGATCAAACTCAATGAGATTAAATATTTCAAAAATTACTCCATTAAGATGATTGTTATTTTTTTTTTTCTTTTAATATTTATATTTATGAATTAAAATAAAATAATAAGAAATAGATAATTTTATGGGAACACTTTATAAAAAAGTATGCAAATGTATAAATAAATACTAGGAATTGTATATCTGTTAACACTTAAAATTCATTGATTATTGCCTGTACATTTTGATCACATTTAAAGAATAAAATGACCTTATCTTAACCAGCACCACCGACGCACCGCGTATTCGATTCTAAAACACGTGTATACACGATATAACTTTGCTGATATGTATAACGTATAGACTAGGAATCTCGAAGTATGTACATATATTATGTATTTTATGTATACAACACAATAACATAGCAATTTCAATGTTTCACGCTGGATACTTTACAATAATAGTTATTATGACAGTTTGTTGGCGTGAATATATTTATAAGAACTGATTTCTTAGTTCTTCCGTCCCACGCATTGTACGTTTGTACGTTGACGCTCGGATATCAATTAATTCAATTAACGCACGCCAGACAAAATAACTATAGCATACGTCTCTAGTGTGATATGCTTACTACCGTTCCGCATGCAGAAATGTGCGCATTATTCTTTTGTTCATAAGATTGTGAGAATTCTTTTTTTTCGTTCTTAAAATTAAAATTTTTTTCTGCTGTATCTTTACAATAGAAGTCGACGTATGATATGTCACAAAGCCATTATGATGTTCATTTATTAATGACATCTTCAAAATTTCTAATAATATTTACAAAATAGTCAAGTGGAAATTTTCTCAAAGTATCCTTTTATTTTAAATAAAATATTTTCGTGTTTTAACTGTATCATCCCAATCATATAACTATTTTTTGTAGTTACTATTGTTGTATTTTAATACGATTTTATTTAAATAATTTGAATTTACAAAACAGTTTTAAGTTAAATTAATTATTTATTATTCTATGTTGAATATAGATTCAAAGTAAAATAGTTTACAGAATATTGTTAAAGATCTGATGGATGGAAATTTTATTTAGACTTGTTGAAGTAAGAATTGTAATTAACCTGAGTTTCAGGGAAAGATGGCCATTTGTATATTAGAGCACGGTGTGCTATGTGAACTATAGTCGATGACAAGGCAAAAGATTCCTGCGTGAAAAATTGGGTGTCGGACTAGTGAACTCAATTTCATTGCAATTTTTCGGAAGGTTATAAAGTTAAAAATATTCGTGAGAAATAGAAATCTCAATAATTGAATTTCAATGCTCAATACATTTCTTTTGTATTAATAATTGTTTTGTTTAAATAATGCTATTACTAAAATGAGTTATTAGTTTAGTTTTTCAATATTATAAATAATAACTTCCCGTTGTTAACTGAAACTGTTTTTTTTTTTTTTAATATTTGATGGAATAATTACCTTTATTACATGCATTATGATGGTATTTGACGTAACTGACTACGTCAATAACTCAGATTATTTTATCTAAGATCAATTAAAACCTCTATCATTTTAAATATTCTGAAAAATTTTAAAATAAAAAATATTCGGGTAATTCAAAGAGTACACGAGTATTTTTAGTGTATAAAGAATATGAACTTGCTCGAATACAACGGTTGATTATAACTCAAATAGTATGAACAATCGCTAGTTGGTTTTATCAATTCTTTATTAATAATTTATATTAGTGAATGCCTTTATTGCAAATAAAAAGAGGAGAACATTTTTATGGAATGTTATTGTATGTTTCAGGAGAATGTAAAAATTGATTTGACTGTACGCAAAAATGTGTACCCACGCGTCTCGTTAAAACAGGACGCATATCAATTAACACACTTTGAGTATGACCGGGTGGCCAACGCGTGGGCGATTATATATATATATAGATATATTTATGTGGAGAGATATAGAATGCGTGCTTCCGCAGACACGTGCGAATAGATTACCCTATACGACACCCTACACGTATCCTATATACTATGTAAATTATTGTACAGCATAATCCCCTGATAGTTGACTATAACACTTAATAGATTAGTCATTAACAGATTACATAAATGATGTATTAAAAAAATTGCTCTGAAAAATAATACGTTTTTCCGATCCTCTTAATAAACATTATCGCTCAATAATCCGATATAAATCAACGTAAAAAGCTGATAATCTTAAAAAAGATCCACCTGATGGATTTAGTAATTTAACTTCTAACAAGTTTTACAGCCCACACAAATTTAACTCAACACTACTCCAAAACTACATTTATTTGTAATTTTTTTCTTAATTCATCAAAAAGGTGTCTGTTATCATGTAAAAACATTTAATTCGATAATAAGTGTATTTACCTATAAGCTCTAGGCTAGAATAACATCAAGTCTTTTAACAATATAATTATTTTCTATCAATAAAAAAAACATCAAGTATGTCTACTTAAATGGTCTATTTTAATTAATATTATATTATTAAATCGTAAATAGCCTTTTCAAAACTGTCTCCACAATTATCTGAATACGAATAGCTGAAAATTCAACTGCACGCAATATCACCCTTATTTCTGCTTGAAGAAAAGATGTGGAAAAACATTAATTATAATTATGCGGAAGGATACCTTAGGTATAAAATGACAGGAAAATATCAGACACCTGAAATCAACTCTCGGGGGCAATCTGCGACGTCGTACAATCCCGGCGCTAATTTACTGACACGGAGCTTCGTCCGTCCCACGCGTTCCTTCTATACAGATGGAACGCGTATCAATTAACGCGCACTCTTGGGTTTGTGTGTGGTGTAAGAGTGTACTTACGTTTGCTTCATGCTTACGTACAACATCTGGCTACACCTGCAGCAAACGTACGGTATGATAGTGTTGGTGTGAGTGAAAATGAGAAGTTTGCTGAATGATAAGGATAAAGTATCAAAATGACACATCAACTTGAGGAACCACAGTTAGGATAAGAAAGTTCAGCTACTACTACACATAAATACCGGCGTAGACAGTTGTGCGTGCATTAGCATATCAAGTTAATTCGTCAGACGTGAATTACTTGTTTTATGATATCTAGAAAAAATATTTTTCACTTTAAATTAAACTTTATTTTTATAAGACGACATAATTTGATTAAAAATGTATCAGTAGACAACTTGACGAAGATAAAATTTGATAGAAAATATTCAAATCTGAAGACGTTAATTTATTATATCAGTTGCGTTTGAGTGTTTATTTGCATTTGACGATCATGACTTATTTAATTTTTTTGTATCGATAAACTGGTTGTCAAGTTCAATGAAGCAAGTTGTAACGATGTATTTTACTTGCAAATACATCATAATATAAATGTTTGCGAAAAGTATGACAAGAGAGAACAGTATATATAACATTGTAGAATTTTTTCAAATTTATATGGACTGATAAATTATCCATCTTTTATTCATCTGCAATTATGTAATACATATTAATAGTTAGAGCAATTGGACAAAAAGTAAACTGTATATTAATTATTTAATTTTAAAGTTAAAATATAAATATTATAAATAATTGATAAACTTCTACAGTTAATTCAAAATAAAAAATTCTTTTTTTTTAACAAATTTTAATTGCAAATACTTTGGCGTATTTATAACAAAAAATAATCCCTACAACATTGTAGAATTTTTTGTTATAAAGTTGCAATTTTTTTACATTTAATGATTAATTTATTAAATTATGTATACTTATCATCATTTATTTAAAGTACTTTTTTAACGGACGTTGATCGTTAAATTAATAATAAATCTGGTATCGTATAAATTAAAATAAATACTTCGTAATCATTAATAATAAGTGAGTACTTTTTATTGATTCTTGAGTACCATTCTTTTTTACATCGCAGTGAAACTAAAATAATATCACGTAAATTTAAACTCATATATAACAAAATTATACACAATGTCATCGACGAAAAAAAAACAAAACTCAATACTTTCTACATGTTAGAATTACAATCTTTAATCGTGATATTGATTCAGTCTTCCATATCAATTATATTTAATAATTAAATTTATTTATTCAAATGTTTAAATAATTTTCATATATTTTTTTTTGTAAATTTCAATCTAGGTAGCATCATCTCGTAAAAAAAAAGATGAGTTAAATGATGCGTATAATGAAATGAATTCAAATATGATTAAAATGATATCAAAAAATGCCACGTGTTTGTTCCAAAGACGTAGAATCTGTTTTTAAATACATATGCATTAAATAGAAGTAAAGTAACAAGTGCTACTGCTGCTTCATTTTTTATAGCTTGTTATCATACTAGAAAATGGCTTGTTTTACTGAATCGTAATTTTTTTACGGCCATGAACACCAACTACTTCGATCCTTCAGTAAGTTTATTTTTAATTCCACCATTTTTTTTTGATATTTTTTATGTTTCGCTGGTTACAAAGTTGCACAGTGTACGTCTAAGCGACACAAGAGGAATAATCTGAACGTGCAATTAGCAACACTGTCGACTCACGACATCATGAACGCATACTTGTCAACATATCATACCAACACCACAGTATATTAATGTCTCGTATATATACGCACGTGCGTTGTTTCTCAAAGTGTAAATACAACACACTTGTACATAAATGTGTACATGAGACCACGTGAGTCTGTATGAACCCAGTCAGGCAATAAATAGCATGAACAAAATAGTGACGATAAAAGATGAATTCGTGTATCGTCAGCTGATATCTGTCATGTTTCACCACATGTGGTTGAAGCGAGAATCAATATAATCACCCTAAAGTTGAGTCTCGTTCCACTCGTGTATCGGGTATATGGGTCTGATAAGCTTTCTGTTGCTACAGCAATGCCACCGTCTCGAAGCACATAACACTCCAACGAGTACATTCGTGCGTCTGATAATTTATTATGTAAAAGGCAACGCGCGGAGATAAGCAAGCACGCAGTATGTCGATAGCCAATGTCAGCCAGGTATCCGGTATAAACTTTAATGGGCCAAGGAGACGAACAATAATCATATTGCTGATTTCTGGAATCACATGCGTGCTTACCTCTAAGTAGTAAAATGTAATTACTTGATATCGAGTTACAATGTATTCATGATTGTCTTAGACAATATTAAAATTGACATTATTTTATGGTTTCATCGCAAGTAATTACTCTTAAACTACTTAGAAAATATTGCTATTAAATGTAATCAGTTTTATCGATAAGTGAGTAATGAATTAAGTTCTATTTACCACAGTCATTTTTTATTTTATTTAAAAAATATATTATCATGACTATTTGATGAATAATTTTATTAATGCATAGTGTTTTTATCATTTTCTATTAAACAGTTTTTTTTTGTCATTTGTACTTTTAGATGTAAAAAAATTTTCATAAAATATTACCAAGATTTATCTCCTCAGTGTATTATTCAATCATCATTTTTTATAAAAATAGCTTTATATAACTGATATGATTATGAATATTTGTGTTATTATAAAAAAAAATTCTAGATCTCTTTATCAATGACTTGGACATTAATTTATCTGTCTTGCAGTCTATTGAGAAAAAAAAACTTTGATATATTGAGCAGGTCTAAGTAAGATCTACTGATTGTAAGTTATTAAAATACCACGGAAAGACGTCATATGTAAACTCAACATACTTATTTTGACATTTCATAAATACCTCAAAGTATTTATTTAAATCTTAATACTTCATATAAATATTTAAATCTTCAACTTCTCAATAAAAAATTGGCCTATACCACTAGGTGGATAAGAAATTTTCTCTAACCAACTAATACTTGAGTATAATATTAATGAATAGGATTAATTTGATGTAATGTTGTAAGAGTTAGATCTCAAATCAAATGAATACTACTATAGAGTGATTGTAAGTAAAGACTAATGTAAAGTATGTGATTTATAGCAGGGTTGCGGGCAGTTCAGACATGGGAAGTGAGCATTACTGCCTGAGGTGGAACAATCATCAGAGCAACTTGCTGGGTGTGTTCAGTCAACTACTGGAGTCAGAATCACTGGTGGACGTGACGCTGGCGTGCACGGAGGGACCGTCAATACGTGCGCACAAAGTAGTCCTCTCCGCGTGCTCCAGCTATTTTCAAGCTTTGTTCCTTGATCACCCTAATCGCCACCCCATCGTCATCCTAAAGGACGTCCGCTTCTCTGAGCTGCGCACTCTCGTCGACTTCATGTACAAAGGAGAAGTGAACGTCGAGTACTGCCAGCTTTCAGCTCTTCTTAAAACTGCTGAGAGCCTTAAAGTCAAAGGTCTTGCAGATATGACCAACATTAACGCAGCAGTGGCGTCCAAAGATGATCAACAGCATCTCAACTCTGAGAGTCTCAGAGAAACACGAGGGGAAACACGTGAAAGAGACAAAGACAGAGACAAAGAACGTGAGAAAGAAATACCTAAAACAGAGCCTGATCTTCAACATCAGCAACAACAACCACAGCAACAGCAACAGAGAGATCAGCAACAAAGAGACGTACAACAGCAACAATCATCTCAACAAACGTCTCAAATAGCAAATAATGAAAGCTCGGAAGCGGTTGACATGACCGAGTGTCCGACATCTCCTTCAAGAGCCAGCAGTCCATGTCCTGGTCCACTTGCACTCGACAGACCTAGGAGAGATTCTGAAGATGCTGTGAGCTTAGAAGAAACGAGAGGTTCCCTTAGTCCAATTTCCGTACACAGTGGTCCTAGTGATATGAGTTTAACTAATAACACTGGCACGCCAGGAGTGTTGCCATTAAATTTACCGCAGAGTCGACTTCCGTCCCCGCACAGTACCGAACCTTTGGCAGGACCATCAGGACTACCTCCGGTTCAGCAAGTTCCACTTGTAAGTCCATCTATTTTATTCATTAAAATAATTTACTTCTCATTAAGTATCTTCATCGTCTAAAGTTTTTTTTAGCTTCGATGAATCACTTTGATGATTTTATTTGAAAGTAGTTTTGGAGAGTAAATAAAATACTTGAATTTTAAACATTCAATTTAGCTTTTCTTAATTTCAATCAAATTGCAAAATATTTTTGACACCATTTCATCATAATTGATGCATCATTCGAGACATTGGTATAAGAAATTTGATTTATTATAATCGGACAGCTGCTTATTAATTTTTAATTATTTCAGTCCTTGAAAAAAGAAGTGGACTGGGAAAGGTCGACTGAGGAACGTTGTGCAAGCAGTGAAATGTCGGCAGATTATAGACTCCCACCAGACCCGGTGAGTCTTTATTCGGTATGAATTTTTGTTACCTTTTTTACTTATTCTCGTTATCGTACATAATATCTATATTTAATATATATATCAAGTATGGCTCTTTACTCTGCATTTTATATTAATAATTATTATTGCCAGCTGAATTTATATACTCATTTGCAATCATCAATTAAGCAGGGTCGTTAGGTTGCCAATGATAATACAACAGAAAAATATACATAAATAAGAACAATTATAGCGTATTATGTATCGTGTTATATCATTTATGGAATTATCATTGTTCATTACCGAATATCGAAAACCAAAGCAGCAATACTGTTCCAAGATATTGTCGATACATAATTAAAACGCTTTTCATAATGTATCCGTATTGCATGTTAGTTACTATAATGCATGATTTCAAACGCTTCTGCTGCTCGCTGCTCTCTTTTCACGCCAATTCTTTCAATTTTTATTTTTTTAGCAATATCGTTAACAATCTTTTTCCTTTTTAAAACATTGAAATTAAAAGTAAATCTTCACATTCAATTCCCAGTTAAATTGAATCTAAATCAGTTGAAATTATTAATCCCACAAAAGACTCATCAAATTATTATCAGGTAACATTGTTCTAAATTGAATCCAAATCCTGGGTGTATGATTTATAATAAAAAAATATTACATTCTTGTTTTTTTTTTTCTTTAATAAAACGTAAATAATAAAATCAATTGATAAAAATAAATCATCTTGATTGTTGAATAATTGAAAGATTTTTCAGCAACTTTCAAATCTCATTCTCACATTAAGCATCTTGCAACAAAAATCAAAATATTCATCAAGTTAATAATAAAAAAACACATGTGCATGATATTCACTTTGATAAAGTCTGTTGTTTCTCATATACCGTGTTATATTCCACGCTCAAGGCGTCGTAATATTTTTTTTTCCATGAACATTTACATATTCTTTTCCTCTTCTTTACACTTTTATTTGCATATTTTTATTTAATCATCTCATATTCTTTCTCTCATTTTCGTATTTTTCTCCTGTGGTTATAATAATAATTATTCCCATAATTTTCCTCAGCACCATTTTCCATGTCTTCAACAACATTATTCAGATACATAAAAAAAAAAAAATTTTAAAAACAATCTCCTCGATATTTTGTTAATCTTTGCCACTTCATGATATTTCTAATGTTTTTTTTAATCAAATTTATACTAATAAATAAATCAATTGATTAATTGACTTTCTATCTAGTTACATTTGTAGCATTTTTGACAAATATAATAAGACATTTTTACATTAGATATTGAAGAAATTGTTTTAATTTTATATCAAAGTGGAATGAATGCATAGAAATAAGATGAGTACGAATCTGTCAAAAATACTACAGACATATTCCGGACAGTCTAATGTTAGAGTATCATTTAAGAAAATAAGTATTATTCTTTCGTATTGACTTTCTGAGAAATATAAAATGTATGCCTGCCTTCTAATGTTCATGTGCATATTTTTTATTTCTCTAAGCCTCTTCCAATCGATTATTTCCTCGCCAAAGCCTGTCTTGCTAGCTCACTGTCAAGAAGTTGACCTTCGTTTTTGGCCATGGTTGTTTTTTAACTACATCTATATATACAGTATACATGTGTATATACGCATATATGACGTACACGATATATCATATCATGGGTTGAACTTCGAAATTGATTAGCTCTTCATATCCCAAGCCTACTGGAGTGTCGCCAATGTCCGGCACAACGTCAATGAGGCTTGGAAACAAATGTAGTGCATGAATTTCGAAGCCATTCCCTCAATGTATACCACATATGATAAACATATGTATATATTCGTTTGGCATATCGTTTATATGAATATGCGAATATCTACATTATAACTCATGACAACATCATTTTTAATATATTTTGATATCTGTATTTCGATTGTTATTTGATTGAGTGCAATGCGCCTTTTCTCCAATGTATATAAATTCATATATTTATATACATTCATATATATCTATACATATAAATATATATCCTGCATATATGTATACATATATATATTTAATTACGATACATAACGGTATATAATAAAGCAAAAATATCAAGTCAAGTCTTGACGAGCCGGCTCACAAAGACCATAATTGGGAATCAATTAGTAAGAAACTTTGGGGTTGGTTGGAGATCAAATGAAGTAGGAATTATATTTTCTATAAATATATTTTACATAATACCTATTATTATCATTCTTATTGTTATCATTACGATAGATACGATTATTTTAACTATTATTATTATTATGATTATTAATTATAGTTGGTCTTATTATTATTATTATTCATCATCATTATTATTATTATTAATATTATTATTATTATTTCTTATTGATATTATTATTATGATAATTAAACACACCCACTTAGATTTGAAAATCATAACAAAAAATATTTGAAAAAAAAAAAAATAAATAAATAAAAACGGGGGACGGGCGCGCCAAACAAAAATGAGCGTCAACTTCTTGTGCTATCGTTGTTCACGTTTTATATAGTTGAAAGTGAGAAGTTTGATGACTTCTTGCAAATGATCGCGCTTAAAACACTTATTAACTGCCAATAAAAAAAAATTTGTAGAAAAGTAGATAATTGATAACTAGAAAAAAGAGTGAAAGAGAGTGAGGAAGAATGAAAATAAATGACTCTGCACCCTAACGAAATGCCTATGTCCAGTTGACTTTGTTCTAGAGGTGCTCTAGATGTTCATGGCTGATGGAGGCTTCCAATTGGAACATATGTCATGATGGACTCAAAGTCATGCAGGCCTGGTTACGCGTGCAGAGTCCTTGACCTTGATTATTTTTTTCTATTTTACCTTGAAACAGTTTTGCTGTATTACGGAAAAAAGGGTCATGATGTTGACCATTAATCGTTGATAAAATTTGTTTTTTTTTTCTAATTTTAAAGAGTTAAAATTTTGAAATAATCCAAAAGAAATGAAGTTTAAAGACTAGTTAAGCTAAAAATAGAAAATGAGATAAATTAGAGATTAAACACGGGAGAGAGAGCGAGAGAGCGAGATTAGCCGGAAGCAAGAAGTTGATGTTCTTGTTTGTTTGGTTGCAGGAGTTGATGGGTGTGGATGAGCGGGTGTTTGCGTGCATGTACTGCGGTGCCTCGTTTCTTCACCAGAGCAAGCTGACACGGCACATCCTCTCGCACAGCCTCGAGTCGCTCAAGTACCGCGAGCAGGCACACCTGCAGCTGCAGGCTCAGTTGGGCCTCGAGCCCGGTATGCACCTGCCGCCGGAGGCCCACTTTCCCTCCGGTGGTCCGGTTGAACCAATGGACCTCGAGCTGGCCGCCCATTCTGATCCTACATCCGGCGTTGTGCTTTGCAAGTTCTGTGGCAAGTCCTTTCCTGACGTTGGCTCACTGATAGCTCACCTACCGGCCCACACGGGTGATCGGCCGTTCAAGTGTGAGTTCTGCGGCAAGGCATTCAAACTCAGACATCACATGAAGGATCACTGTCGAGTTCATACTGGCGAGAGACCCTTCAGGTGTACGTTATGTGGCAAGACCTTCTCCAGGTCGACCATCCTAAAGGCACACGAAAAGACGCATTACCCAAAGTATGTGCGTAAGTTTTTATCCCCAAGTCCTGTGGATCCTTCGGAGGAAGAAGCACCACCGCCACCGCCACCACCGCATCATTGAGTTTGTCACCGCCCGATGCCAACAACTACTTCGACCACTTCACCACGCTCATCCGCTCACTTTGGCTGTGCTACCAACATCACCTTAAACCTCAACGTCAACATCACCAACGCTGACTTGGTGCTACAGGAGAGTGAGAAGGACGCGAGGTGTTTCACCGATCCCTCAAATCAATTATTTACTTATCCACCTACCCGATCCCATTGACCTTTAACATTACATTCTTTTCTCTCCATCTCAACCAATCATTTCAATTAATATCTTCCCATGCAGAAGCCAAATTCAGTTATTCCCGAATTCCCCAACTCACGACGATCCTCGCGTCCAATATCTCGATGACAAAGAAGACTTGATCGTCGTCCTTGTGTCGTTAATTATCGACGTGGCAGTGTCGAAGGTATTTCTAGTTAGTCCTGTGATTTTGATTAGGATGGGTGGTATATACGTGTTTAGAGGGAGGAACACGTTAAAATCATCTCCCTCGTTTAATCAGTGCTTTAAGACAAAACGTTTAGCTTAATTATACTTATATAATATCGGTAAATTATTAAAGTGACGATATTGGAAATACGCGGAAACAGAATAATAAAAATTGTTTAAATAGTAACAAGGTAAAAGCGGCAAGTCCATTTAATGGACAAACATACACTTGACAGTGAAAATAAAATGAATCAATGGATAAAATAATCAAGTGATTATCAATGATTGAGAGAGAAAAAATGGAGCCGCCACGGTTGGTGCTTTTAAGAGATTTTGATAAAATGCTGTGAATACTATATTGATTACGATAACTATAATTATTGTAATAATGTACTAACGTTGTACGATGTACGATGACTGTTGTTGATTCGATTGAGAATATTTTATACAGTTGACAAGAGGGGATGGGGTTTCGTGCGTTCGACGTAATGGAGCAGTAGGCGATGGGGGTGTTCGTATGTTCGACGACGGATGGCAATGATAAATGCGATCAGAGAGAATATTCAATTCGTGGTACAATAGTATATATAGTTAAATACTGACATAGATATCAATATAGACATATATTTGAATGCGCATGGTAAAACGTGAGTGTACTCCGTGGAGAAATTGTTTATCTATTACAGATCAAACAGTTCAAGTTTAAATTAATATCAAAGTGGAAAAAATTATATATTTATTGTACTAATTGCTCTTCAATATTTGAGATAAAAATTACGTTAAATATATTCATTTTTCTGTCTATTGTTGAGAACTGTTATTTTTCAAATATTATTCATATTAAAACTGTCATTATTCAATGCAAATAAGTTAATTTAAACTTAGAACAAATCTCCATGATAA